TATTATATAATATAATATATAATATAATAATATTTATTATTATATATTATATTAATTAATATATTATAATTTATATAATATTATATATATATGTATTATTTTATATTATATATTATAAATAAAATAAAAAATATATTATTATTATTATTATTATAAATACAATAAATATTTATTATATAATATTGCATATTGTACTATAATATATATATATATATTATAAATAAAAAAAAAAGAATATTTTACATTACAATATATTAATTATTTTGTAGATTAAATAGAATTAAATAAATAATAATTTTGTTTAAAATTAAATAGAATAATTAGATTTAACATACATACATATTTATATATATGTATATATGTATGTGTTGTTATAGATCAGAGTTATTTCCCGATGGGTCTAATTTCGAACGATACTCAAAACAATAGACCGTTTGAGCGATCAGTTTGACCGATATTGGCAAACGTTAAAACAATATTGACTGACATAGAAACTGATATCGTTTCAATTGGAAATATATATATATATATATATATATATATATATATATCATTTGAATATAACACTGTTGTTGTTGTTGTTGTTATTGTTATTGTTGTTATCATATTATATTTGAATGTGTATTAAATATCTCACCTTTGATCTTACTCTCTCCATTCTCTCCCTTTCCCCCTATTCTCTTGTCATCAATCAAAATAATTTTGTTAACTTCATTAGATTGCTATCATCATCATAAGAAAAAAAAAAAACATGATTGAGTAAAAAAGAGAATGAAAGAGAGGGAGAGAGAGAGAGAGAGAGAGAAAGAGGACAATTTAAAAATATGAGTAAAGTAAAATAAAGTTTAAAAGTCACGTGTCTCGCGTAAACTTTACCACCCACACCCTCAAACTCATATAATCTTGTAAAGTACTATTTCATTTTAGCTAATAAAGAAAAGTACAATAGTAATAATAATAATAATAATAATAATAATAATAGTTTGAAAGAGGAATAATTTTGTTACGCACTTTTATCCAATGAGAATGATTGTCCTTAAATGTGCAAGAAGAATGTTGAATAACGAGATCCTTTGGTCAGCATTTTCCACTTGTTATCAACAAATTTGAATCCATTGAAAAAAAAAAAAAACAAAACAAACAAAACAATATTTCAAATCAAATTAAATTAATCGAAAAGGGAAAGGGAAAGGGAAAGGGAAAGGGAAAGGGAAAGGGAGAGACCCAAAATAAGAAGAAAAAAGAAAATAAAAAGAAAATAAACAAACGGATAATGCAATAATAATGGAAAAAAAAATTTGATATATTTATTATTTTATTTTATTAATTTTATTATTAATATTAATTTAATATATATATTTATTATTATTATTATTATTATTATTATTATTATTATTATTATTATTATTATTATTATTATTATATATTTTATTTAAATTACTATGTGTTTTTATTTCTCACTCTTGTTCTCTTTCTTCTCTCTATTATCAATTTTCTGTTCTCTTTCTAATCTCCAACTGTTTATTTGCAATTAAATAAATAAATAAATATAATAATAACAATATTAACAAATTGAAAATAAATTGTTGTTTCTCTTTCTCTCTCTCTTTTTTTTTTTTATTAATTTTTTTTTTCTCTCTCTTTTTTTAATCTTCAACCACAACTGTTTACTTGCAACTAAATAAATAAATAAATATAATAATAATAACAATAGTAATATATTAAAAATAAATTATTATTACAAAAATATGATAAATAATTTTGAATAATTAATATGAGAGAAGTGGTAGGGGATAAGAATAATAAAAAGTATTTAAAAAAAAAAAAACAGTAATAGAAAGTGGACAAAGATAGATAGATGGGAGAGTAAGAACAAATTTCACAGAGGTAGAACGGGTTGCCGTCTATACGGCGTCGCGACGATCACTGCGAGCAACGACGCGACGTTGTCTCTGACCTCTTCTCTCTCTCTCTCTCTCTCTCTTTCTCTCTTTCTCTTTCTCTCTCACATACAACGTTCGCGCGCGCGCGCGACCAAATGCTTCTACATACATTTTTACACAAACATATTTATACATACATACATACACCTACTTTTAACGCACGCATGACACGCAAATAAAAAATGGAAAACGGAAGGGGACTTATAAAACCAACACGCGTAATCGTGTTTGTCGTTCGAACAACAAGTTTTACGTCCACTTCTTTTTTTAGCTTTTCCATAACATCGTTTATTTTAAAATTGTTCATTTATTTCTTTTCTATTTCATTTTTTTTTAATCAAATTTTTGAACAAGTCAACAACTTTAGGTATTTAGGATCAATCATAAACCAAGAACTTAAGAAGAAAATCAATTGAAGCAATAAATTAGTCAGGTTGTTGTCTAGGTGCTTGAAAATTAGAATATACAGGACAATCATCCTACCGGTAATCCTTTATGGTAGCCAAACGTGGTGTCACTTACGTTACGGGATCAAAAGAAATTGAGGGCTTTTCGAAAATAAAGTTGTTTCGTAAAATGTTCGATGCAAAACGCGATGAGAAAACGAATGAATGGAGAAAACCCCCCATAACGTGAAAGTACACCAAATGTACAACAAAACTGGAAATCATTAACGTCATAAAATCACGCCGATTAAGATGGGCAGGTGTCACGTGGCGTGCATGGGGGGTGGATCGAAGGGTGTATAAAATACTGGTCGGTATACCGAACGGGAAAAGACCATTGGGTAGATCGATACGTAGATGGGAGGACAATATTGTTTCGGGATCTTAAAGAAATGGGCTACGAAGACCACGAATGGACGGGGTCAGGCTCAGGGACGAGAACACTGGTGGGATTTGGTATTTGTGGCAATGAACTTTTGAGTTTTTAATGTTAATTGATAATAATAAATATTATTTATGAAGAATGGTATGTTTTAATGAAAAAGCAGCATGTAAATTTTTCTTCTGATGAGAATATATGACGATAACACGTTTCTACCCACAATGATGATGATTATTATTATGATGATGATGATGATGATAATGATGATACTTTGATTCAGTTTACTCGAGTTAACTCGACTCTGAAGCTCTTGTTTTGTTGAAAGTGTTTCTAACGTGTGGGTGGTATGTGTACACTGTACACATACGGGGGATCACCCCCTATCGTATAGTATATATATATATATATATATATATATGTGTGTGTGCATGTATATAAGTACGGTGTAAAGTCCCGATCCTTTGATCTACGTCTATGTACTCTTTATTACCTTTTAATCGACGAATAGGTTATCGATTCCTTCTAACATATTCTACGATGATTTTATCCTTTCCCTTAACTCTTACCACCCACACCTCCAATTCGTTAAATAAACTACATTTCTTTATGGGGGTTTGAACACTTTGAGTAATCAAGACGATAAAAAGAAAAATAACTAGCTTTCGTTTTGTTTTCTTATTTTATTTTATTTTTTATTTTATTTTTTCTCTTATTTTCTATGAATCCATCAATTTAACTCAATCCTTTAATTTTGTCTCGTTAAAATTCACTTGTATGAAAATTTTTAAATAGTAAAAAAAAAATATAATATACTAGGGAGATGCCCCGCCACGCGTTGCTGTCACTCACAATCAGTCCGATACACACGTCTTTAAGTCAACGAATTTACGTTATACCGATTATAAATTAAGATATAAACTATCCTATCTTTCAAGTTGGATGAAACTGCACAAAATGTGAAAAATTTTATTCAAATCGGTTCAGTAGTTTAAGAGTCTATTGCAGACAAACAACGTGACACGTAATTTATATATACTAAGATTAAATAAAACAATAAATATAATATATATTTTTCAAATTATGTAATAAAAAAAAGTAAATATACACACTATTCAAATTATTAAATAAAAAAAAAATAAATAAATAAACAATTGACTCGAAATAATATAATATCAAATAGTAAAAAAAATTATAATTTTAATCATTAAAATAATTTATTATTCTAACAACACATTAAATACTTCCTCCCTAATCCCCATATTATAATACCTTTATCTATAAATTATTATTATCATTATTATTATTATTATTATGGTATCATGTTTCTAGTATCCTAAGACATATAATAATCTTAAGTTTTCCAAGTACATAGCTAAGAGGTATTTATCGTAAAGATCGATCCCTAGAAGGGATGACGGTAATTGGAAAGATACGATCAAGCCAATCGTATTAATCTGTTCCAAAACCCATCCCAGAGATCCTTGATTAACCCCCGTGGTGCAGATAAGCTTATCGATGCGAAAACCTATCCAACCAACCATCCATACACCAAACCAACCAACCAACCAACCAACCAAACAACTAATCCAACAATTCTTCTCATTGGATGTGAAAGTAAAACCTTTACGAATTGTTTGATATTTTCTTCTTCTTTTATTTTCTTCTTTTTACAAAAACCAAAATACATCTCGAACCAACAAAACCTATCCAACACATCCATACACCTCTCAACCAACCAACCAATTCAACAATTCTTCTCATTGGATGAGAAAGAAAACCTTTACGAATTGTTTGCTTTTTGTTTTCTCTTTTTACAAAAACTAAACTACTACAACTCGAAATGTACAATCTGATAATAAAAAATGTTCAATGTAAATAAAAACAAAACAAAAAAATTCTATTGGTACGAGATAGAAAAGATAATCAACAGGGGGTTGAGGAATAATGAAAGAAGAATGGTGTGAGAGAGATGTTGAAGAGAAAAATAAGAGTCAAAGTATCGTGAACGATTCAGGAACGACTGAAATGGGGTGGTGGGTGGTGGAAGGAGGAGGCAGCCAGTAGGAGGTGAGAAGTGGGAGGTGGGAGGTGGAATTCGATCGAGCGTGAAAAAAAGTCAAGAGTCACTAAAGCAAGCAAGCAAGCAAGCAAGTAAGCAAGTAAACAAGCACAAGTTCTTTCCTTCTTTCTCGTACTACAGTTTGAATCTCGTACGGCCATGACCTGTTACAGGCTGAACAAGTCGTTCAAGTGGATAAGCTTATGTGTCGTGTGATATAAGAGTATGAGAAAATAAGAGAGAGAGGGAGAGAGAGAGAGAAAATTGTAAAAGAAAAAGAAGAAAAAGAAGAAAGTTAGATAGATACTTTTCCTTTATCTTCATCTTTGTCTATCTTTCCTAGCTAACTCACTAAACTGATTTACTCACTCACTTACTCACTCACTTACTCACTCAGTCAACCCTTTCACACCTAGCACAGTGCACCCTGTGCTATGGAAGAGAAAGAGAGAGAGAGAGAGACTATACGCAAGCTGGTGGATCAATAGCGGTTTATAGGGTGGCAGATACTAGTAGTATGTCAAGATAATTCAATGTGATAACAGATTGTCTTATCTATCTATCTTTCAACTTTGTATTACTATTCCTATTTCATTCATTCTCTCTTTCTCTTTTTCTGTATATCTTTCTGTTTCTATGTGTATGTTGTATGTGTGTTAGATTCTGTCTAGTTAGAATAGTCATTTTGAGGACCAATGATCATTTTGAAACTCGACGTTAGAATAGTATTCGATCTTGAAATGGTATACGATAATAGTTAGATGGTTACAAAAGGGATCTAATAGATGGATAGGTTTACCCGTTGATCTAACTCTACTAGAAGAGTATCGTATTACTTTCTAATTCTATACGTGTGTAAGATTTTAATCGCATAGTAGTTTCATACATTATCTAAAGAATGTATTCAAAAAATTACTCAAGTTTCTGTCGAGGTGTTTAAAAATCAGGATATACAGAACAATCATCCTATCAGTAATCCTTTATGGTAGCCAAACGTGGTCCACTTACGTCACGGGATCAAAAGAAATTGAGGGCTTTTCGAAAATAAAGTTGTTTCGTAAAATGTTCGGTGCAAAACGCGATGAGGAAACGAATGAATGGAGAAAAACTCCCATAACGTAAAAGTACATGGAATGTACAACAAAACCGGACATCATTAACGTCGTAAAATCACGCCGATTGAGATGGGCAGGTGTCACGTGGCGTGCATGGGAGGTGGATCGAAGGGTGTATAAAATACTGGTCGGTATACCGAATGGGAAAAGACCATTAGGTAGATCGAGACGTAGATGGGAGGACAATATTGTTTCGAGATCTTAATAGAAATTATATACATACATATATATATATCTATAATACTATATATCTACAAACAAGTTCGCATGGCTAAGTGAGGCAAATCACCATCCAGTAATGTCCATCCAGTAAATCGTATGTTCCCGAGTTCAAATCCCGGGGAGGGAAAAAAAATTTTATTCGTCATATACTAGTAAGAAATTCGGCAACAACTACAGACATCTTTTTATGACATCTGTACTATATATCTACAATATATATACTATTATAATATATGATATATATATAGTACTCTAGTATAGTATAGTATAGTAGTATAATAGTATAGTAATATACTAGTATAGACATCTGTACTATATATCTATAATATATATACTATACTACATGCTATATATATATATATATAGTACTAGTGTAGTATACTATACTAATATACTAGTATAGTATGTAGTATACTAGTAAACTATATATGTAGTATAGTTTACTAGTAATACTATATTATGTAGTATAGTATAGTAGTATAATAGTATA